TCTTCCGCCTCCTCATCTGCCCCAAATTCTCAGTGCTCTGGAGACAACTTAGGTTTGCAGATCACCAATCACCGGTTGAACGGTAAGAATTTTCTGCAATGGTTTCAATCGGTTAAGTTGGTCATCCGGGCAAAGGGTAAAATGGGCTATCTTGAGGGAAAAATTAAGAAACCTACTGAGAATTCTCCTGATTATGACGATTGGGAGATTAATAATTCCTTGGTCATGGCTTGGCTGACTAATTCCATGGAACCACAGATTGGCCAAACCTATCTGTTCTTTGATACTGCCAAGGAAATTTGGGATGCTGTTCAACAAAATTACTCTGATCTGGAGAATACCTCTCAAGTTTTTGAACTGAGAAATAAGTTGAGAGACTTTCGTCAAAGGGGTATGACTGTTACTGAATATTTTACTGCACTAACGAATTTATGGCAGGAATTGGATCTTTATTATGCATCTGATCTTAAGGGATTGGAAGCTAATACCCAATTTAAAAAACACTTGGAGAAGGAAAGACTGTATGATTTCCTTGCCGGACTCAACCGAGATCTTGATGAGGTTCGTGGTCGAATATTGGGGCAGCGACCGTTACCTTCACTTGCTGACGCCTTTGCTGAAGTTCGTCGAGAAGCCAGTAGACGGAGAGTTATGCTGGGAGAAAAGGAGTCGCTTGATAAGTCTGATGATATGTCTGCATTAGCTGCCAACCGTACCATTGACCGTTCCTCCGGAGAATCAAAACGGGATGGTCGTCCATTGTGCACCCACTGCAATAAAATTGGTCATACCCGTGAGAAATGTTGGGAAATCCACGGGAAACCTGCAAATTGGAAGCCCAAAGGACAAAATAAAGGTCGTGCATATCAGGTCTCTACTGATGACAAGGTTGATGAGCCTCATGCATCCTCTGACTCTGATGGTGTCTTTCTTAGCAAGACTCAGTTTGAACAACTTCAGAGACTTTTGACTCAACCTCCTAAGGCCACTAGTCATGTGGTCCAGCAAGGTACAGCTTTCCATGTTGATAGTTAAAATCATTGGATCCTTGATTCTGGAGCCTCTGATCATATGACAGGTAATCTTGGCTTGTTTTGTTCATACACTCCATATTCTGAACCTTCTCGGGTCAAGATCGCCGATGGCAGTTTTTCCCAGATTGCAGGACACGGAACCATTAAACTTTCTGAGCTGATTACTTTGACATCAGTTCTTTATGTTCCTTCTCTGACTTGTAATCTCATTTCCATTAGCAAGCTCACCTCTGAGTTGCATTGCTTTGCTAAATTCTTTCCACATGGTTGTGTTTTTCAGGAACAGGACTCGGAGAGGATGATTGGCAGTGCTAGAGAGGATGGTGGACTTTACTACTTTGAGGAGGATGTGACTCATGAAGCTGTTTTCGTAGAAAAAAACTCTATGTTTCCTTTTGATTCATGTAATGATGTTATGCTGTGGCATCATAGGCTAGGCCATCCAAATTTTATTTATCTTCAGAAGTTGTTGCCAAACTTATTTATTAATAAAAGTCCAAGTTTGTTTTCTTGTGATATTTGTCAACTTGCCAAGCATACTCGTGCTCATTATCCTTCTAAAGTTCACCATGACTCTTCCCCATTTTCCTTAATTCATAGCGACATATGGGGTCCAGCCCGTGTTAAAAATATTTCAGGTACTCGATGGTTCATTACCTTCATTGATGACCATTCTCGAGTTTGTTGGGTGTATCTTCTAAAGGATAAGTCCGATGCTGCATCCGTGTTTAAAAAATTTCATGCCATGGTTCAAACCCAATTCCAAGTTGCTATACAAATTCTTCGTACAGATAATGGCAAAGAGTATTTTAACTCTATGCTTGGAGAATACCTTTCCCAACATGGCATCCTTCACCAAAGCTCGTGTCCTGACACACCCCAACAAAACGGAGTTGCGGAAAGAAAAAACCGACATCTCCTTGAAGTTGCTCGTGCTCTTATGTTTACCACGAGTGTTCCTAAATATCTTTGGGGAGAGGCAGTTCTCACTGCCTCATATCTGATAAATCGAATGCCATCTCGCATTCTGAAATTTCAGTCTCCTCTTTCTAGTCTTGTTCGTATCTTCCCTTCCTTCCGAGGTGTCTCCTCCTTACCTCTCAAGTTATTTGGTTGTGTTGTATTTGTCCATATTCCCTCCCATCAACGGTCTAAGCTTGATCCTAAGTCTCTCCAGTGTGTCTTTATTGGTTATTCTCCTACTCAACGTGGCTATAAGTGTTATTCACCCTCTCTTCGTAAGGTCTTTGTCTCTATGGATGTCACTTTTTCTGAGAATGACCCTTTCTTCCCCTCGACTTCTCTTCAGGGGGAGTCTATAGGAGTAGATGAAGATCAGTCATGGGAACCTATTAATGCCACAGTATTACCTCTACTTTTGGAAACAGGGGGAGCTACAGAAGCCTCCTCAAAATGGGGACAAGCTTATAGCAGGCGAAAGCCTCCTCAAAGTGTGAATAACCCAGAGCCTCTACACTGCCAGGATTCTGAACCATGTTCTAGTTCCAGCACCCCAATACTTGAGTGTCATGGTGAAAATGATCTACACTTGCCCATTGCTCTCAGAAAAGGTACTCGATCTTGTACTACTCATCCTATTTCTAATCATATTTCATATGGAAAGTTGTCCCCAGGGTTTCGTGCTTTCAATACTATGTTGGATAGTACAAAGATACCGAGAAATATACATGAGGCTCTCAATGATCAAAAATGGAGGGATGCTGTCTTTGAAGAAATGAATGCTTTAGAAAGAAATGGAACTTGGGAGATAGTGACCCTACCCAAAGAAAAAAAGGCAGTAGGATGCAAATGGGTGTTTACAATAAAATTCAATGCAGATAATAGCATCAACAGATACAAGGCAAGATTGGTTGCAAAGGGTTTCACTCAGACTCACGGGATAGATTATCATGAGACTTTTGCTCCGGTTGCTAAAGTCAATACCATCCGAGTTCTCTTATCTCTTGCTGCCAATCTAGATTGGCCTCTGCAACAGTTAGATGTGAAGAATGCATTCCTAAATGGTGACTTACATGAAGAAGTCTATATGGATCCTCCACCTGGTTTTGAAAAGGGAAATGAATCAGTGTGTAAACTAAAAAAGTCTCTATATGGATTGAAACAGTCTCCCAGAGAATGGTTCGACAAATTCACACAAGCAGTCAAAAGAAGAGGCTTCATTCAAGCACAGACTGATCATACTCTCTTCCACAAACACTCTAAGGATGGTAAAATTGCTATTCTTATTGTATATGTAGATGATATAGTTCTTACAAGTGATGATATTGAGGAATTGAACACCTTGAAGAAATTTCTAGCAGCTCAATTTGAACTCAAAGACCTTGGCACTCTCAAATATTTCCTTGGTATGGAAGTTGCTAGGAGCAAAACAGGCATCACTCTAACACAAAAGAAATATGTTCTAGATCTTTTGTTGGAAACAGGAATGTTAGGGTGTAAACCTGCTGAGACACCTGTGGAACCTAATACCAAGTTAGGTATTGAAGATGGGAATGAGGTGGATAAAGAACAATATCAGCGATTGGTTGGTAAACTAATCTACTTATCTCATACCCGTCCTGACATTGCCTTTGCGGTGAGTATGATTAGTCAATTCATGCACTCACCCAAGGAGAAGCATCTTAGTGCAGTCTATAGGGTGCTTAGATACCTCAAGAATACTCCAGGAAGAGGATTATTCTTTAAAAAGGGGTATAAAAGGACAATTGAAATCTACACTGATGCAGATTGGGCAGGCTCATCAGTAGACAGGAGATCTACCTCAGGCTATTGCACCTATGTGTGGGGAAATCTTGTTACTTGGAGAAGCAAAAAGCAAACAGTGGTTGCAAGAAGTAGTGCTGAAGCAGAATTTCGAGCTTTAGCTCATGGAGTTTGTGAAGGAATCTGGTTGAGAAGACTTCTTCAAGAGTTGAAGATTTCATATTCCCTACCAATAAAACTATATTGTGACAACAAGGCAGCTGTTAGCATTGCTCAAAATCCTGTGCATCATGATCGAACAAAGCACGTGGAAGTTGATCGTCACTTCATCAAAGAAAAATTAGATGATGGAAGTGTGCGTTTGATATATGTTCCAACCAAAGAGCAAACGGCAGATGTCCTTACCAAGGGCCTACACCGTCCAACATTCGAAGACTTGATTGGCAAGTTGGGAATGATCAATATTTACCTCCCAACTTGAGGGGGAGTGTAGAAAATTAGAATTCAAACATGTTTCCGTTTTTATTTCCTATTAATTAGGATTGATTAGGATTGATTATGATTGATTATGATTGATTAGAATTAATTGTGATTGATTAGAATTAATTGTGATTAGGATTGTGATAGGATTGATTAGTCATCGCTTAGTCATTCTTAGCGATTCTTTCTTGTATAAATACTCACTCGTGTAATTTATTCTATATGAAATATACAAAAACTTCTTTTCAATACTAATGACGGATTTTCTTGTAGTGCGAGAAATGAGGGAGATTTTGGGTTAGAAAACAGGTGAATAACAAATGAGGACGAAACCCACTCATTAAGGGTTTCTGGCTGACATATACTCGAGTATCTGGGGTGGATACTCGAGTATTCATTGTGATACTCGGGTAAGAGGATACATACTCAGGTAAATAATTCAAGAAATGATGAACATCTTTAAGCAGGACAATTACTCGAGTATAGTTTTTGGTCAACAGTCAAATAAGAATAAATTGGTGATATGTTTAATGAAAAAGTCAAATATTTTAAATAGTTTTATAAACGGGAGCGAAGTGGTAATTTTTAATTAATCATAGGGAAAATAGGTCAAATACCCTTGAGTCAACGGTACCATAATATACCAAAAGTATAAGGACTAGTTACATATAAAACGATTCATAAGCTGACATGCTTTCTAGATTACATGCATCCACAAGGAGTGTAGTAGCAATATAGTTACACAGCGAATGATATTATACTTCAGACAAATCCAGCACTGTCTTCAAGAAAAGGATAATTAGTGTAACCTACAACTGGATCAGGAGTATAGAACGTGTCCCTATCGTACTTGTTGAGTGATGCATCAAGCTCAAATCTCTTGGGCAAATCTGGATTAGCCAAGAACAAACGACCATATGCAACAAGATTGGCTCTGTTCTCTGCCACAGCCCTATTACCTTCTTCTTTGTTATAACCTCCAGCAACAATAAAAGCTCCATTAAATACCTTCTTCATTGGTACAAGACAGTGAGTGGTTTCTCCTTTCTCATTAGATATATCCATCCTTGGCTCAACCATGTGGCAGTAAAGAATACCATATTTGTTCAGAGATTTAACCATGTAAAGGCCCAATGCTTCAGGATTAGAGTCACCACTTTCATTGTATTGAGCAAAAGGTGATAACCTTACTCCCACTCTATCTGCCCCTATTTCTTGAACAACAGCTTCAACAACTTCTAATGCAAAGCGGCAACGGTTCTCAATGGACCCACCATATTTGTCTGTTCTGTCATTTATTTGGTCTTTCAAAAACTGGTCAATCAAATAACCATGAGCCCCGTGAATCTCGATTCCATCAAAGCCTGCGTTTAAGAAAGTACCATTATTTTAATTTTTAAATATGTCACGATCAATTACATGGTGTCATTACACTTGCTTAATGCACTTGTCACACGGAGAGATATATAGAGCTTTTTCTTTTCAGCTCCATGACACAAAAAACTATTTTTGTTGTAAAATATATATTTCACCTCTGAGGATAATCTCTGGTATCCATACGTGTCATGATATGGTATGTCCTTTGATTTTTTATACAAATGTAGATCGAGTCTCATAAAATTGCAATTTTCATTGCAATTCATTAATTAAAGTAACGACTAATACATTTTGTTGGAAAAATGTATATTTTTATATGCATTACAATAACTTATGTTATTTATCTTTCATCCATATTGCTTTGATATATTATGTTAAAGGACCAAAAGTTTGGACAGAATAAGATGTTAAGATGGGTTGCTAGAATGTATTTTTCTATTTATAACTAACTGTTAGGTGTAAACTATTAGCATGTATTTTTCTTTCCATAAGTAACCTGTCATCTAGCCTTTTGGGTTTTCGAAGAAACATCAAAAGTTTTATATTTGTAAATTACAGTTTATGTAGTTACCAGCCTCGATAGCATTCCTTGCTGCACATCTGAAGCCATTGACAATATGAGGAATTTCATCTATCTCTAGCTGCCTTGGTACCAAGAAAGGTGCTCGTGACAGTGGCTTGTTCGTAGATGATATTGGAGCTTGCCCAGTTTGCTTAAAATCTACTCAAAACAATTTTGAATATGTTGAAAAATATATTCATATGAAATAATAGGCCAAGAAAGAGTACAGATATTTCAAACACAATATTATATGGGTTTATTGTTTCCTCGGTCACACGGGAGAATTTATCTCCTTTCATATCAAAATGCTGTCATTTTGCAGTTGGAGAATTTTTTATATAATTCTGATTTCTTTTGGGCTATATTAATTTTCGATGTCAAAATTTTTATCTCAATACCAAAACAATACCATTTTGGGGAAAATAAACCCATATTATATATTCAAACATCAACATCAAGAAGTATTAACCTGGATTTGAAGCCCTTCCAACATGATAAATCTGACAGAAAAATATTCCACCTTTGGCATGAACAGCATCCACAATAGGTTTCCATGCTTCTACTTGCTCTCTTGACCATATACCAGGTGTGTTTGGATGGCTTTATACACATACCAAAAGACATCAAATGCATGAAAATCTCTTCCATAAACGTAGACAATTTTGTGATCTAAAGTTCAGAAAATGATATCATTAGTTAAGAAAAAAGAAATACCTTTGAGAAGTGGCTGAAATAGCGTTACATTCAGCTATCAGAAGCCCTCCCTTGGTAGTTCTCTGAGAGTAATATAAAATAGCATGAGGCTGAGGAACATTGTTGTAAGATCTTGCTCTGAGCAGTGGTGCCAAAACGATTCTGAAAATGAGAAACAACAAATTTATAATTCCAACAATTATTCTCAACAAAGGTGCGTTTACTAAATTAATATTATCATTTATGGGAAAAACATGAACTTCAGATAGGTCAATACAAACTTTTTTCCTAACAAATAAAAGTGAATGGCAATTAAGGTCAAGGATACATCACCGAGAATAAAATCTATACAATGCTTTTAAAAAATTTAGAATAATATAAGTAGGAGTTTGTTAGGAACCCCTATTTAGAAGAAATAATGAATAAGTCGTGTGCCGATATGTGTTAGTTATGCCTAGTTACTTCCCAAATAGAGGTGAATAGGGATAGTTAGGAAAATCCCAAAATATTGAGTGAGTGAGGTCATTGGAATTATAAATAGAATTGATGGAATAAATGTAGGGAGTTAGACAATTAGTAAGAAGGCAAGACTAAAGACTAGGATTTCTCTCGAGGTTAGGAGCCTCTCATTACGAATCTCATTTATTCTTTGAGGGGAGGAATTTATCAAGAAAGACTCAGTCAAGACTCAACTTACACTCTGTATTTTCCCAATTCCCAATTCTTGAGCAAATTTTTATCAATGAAGATTCAAATCCATTTCTTAAGTCAAATACTGTCAATTAGTATTAGAGCTCTCTATTCGGAAATTGTGGTATTGAATTAAAGATGATCCAGAATTTGAAGGAGAAGAAGAATCTTGATGGTTTTAATGTTGTGAAATATTTCAATGCAGAAGGAAAACATGAAGCAAAGAGGCTTCCCAAAGCAGCATAAGTGCTTTGATTTGGTACTGTAACACCCTGTTATCGGACCCGTGTGTTATTATTAATTATGATATTAAACGCAGTCATAATCACAACAGTTATTTGAAATTATGAGAAAACTTTTTCTTTTTAATATCGTTGCACTTTTAAAATAACCGTATCAAACAATATACTAACTGTGATCATAACTCAAAACTTATAGCGGAATTATGAATATAGTAGCTTAATACCATACAACTTACATTTGAAGGTTGCTAAGTGGTTCTCATAAACCAACAAAGCTTAAAACTCATTCTATCAATATTTAACACTAAATGCCTTTAACTTTTTATTTACTCTAGGAATTTTATATTTCCCCAATGATTCTCATTTCTTACTATGTTATGGATTTCTTCGTTAGCTTCGTGTGGGTTCAAACCACGCTCAATTTGGAGCACCGTAGCTCAAGTTATGAATTTTCTAAGCAAAATGGTGTTGATTCCACAGGGGGCCGCGCTGATAGTGCCCGCCTCGTGCTAATAGCGCCACAAAATAGAGGTATGGCGCCAACAGTGCCAAGAATATGATTTTTCACTGTTTGGCGGCACTAATAGCGCCACCAAGGCGCCAAAAACGCCGCAGGTTTGGAGACAGGCACCAAAATAGGGGATTTCAACCTACTTTGGTGTTTCACCTAAGGGTCCAATTCTATCATATGGGATATAAAAGTTGGGCAGCACTCTGCTTATATTTTCAACCATTGCCAATTTTCCGTTATGTACCTAATCAATTATCATCCAATACTTACTTGACTATTTCACAACTCAATATATCAAATAGGTCATTGACCCTTCCATCAATTTACACACCTCTATATGATATTATTTACAATAACCAAGTCTTAAATATAATCCAAGTGGCATGGACATCCCCCATGCTCACCAATATCCAAAATGATAAAATGAAGCATATACAACTGGATTCCAAAATACAATTGATAATCAAGAGACTTAGGATTATATAAGAACAAGAAAAGCATGATAAATACAAGTGCATGCAATACCATATTCATATACTAAGTCCTCTACACAATGAATGACAACATGTGCATATACAAATCTTACAAAATGACATATGAATCTTATGCACCAAAATCTATCTCCACCACTAGGTGGGCCTCTTGTCTGAAGCTCTAATATACTTACCTGAACCTGAAATGGTGCCCCAAAGAGGGGTGAGATATACATATATATCTCAGTAAACCAATGACATCAAAGGGTCACTCCGCCCAGTAGATCACTCAATGTGCATGCAATGATACATATATGAACAGTATAATATACAAAATCACATCACAACTGGGCACAATCCAAGAACATCCACTAAAGGATTCATTCAAGGACCACATTAAACTTCTCTCGGGACGCTTCCTGGTGCCTCTCCCATGGTTGAGAGACTCCATGGCAAACCCAACTGGAACTTCCAAGAAGACCTATCCATCAGAAGTCCCACGTTTGGAGCTCCCTGTGCGCTCCCAGAGACGACTCTACGGAAAAATCCGACCGAAACTCCCCAAAGGAGCATAAATCGGAGGAAGTCCAAACCAACACATCTACTGGCTAGAGATCACAATTGCTATATCACACAACGTGCCACACGTATGTCAATCAATATGTCAATAATGCATGAACATACTATTACGTACATTATCAAAGAGCACACATCGAACCATCACCTCCAACTTTGGCATGGTAAAACACACAAGGGGATTAACCCCAGTTCCAAGAGTTTACCTCAATTTCACAAGAAATGCACTCTATTGTTAATTCCAAGCTCAATCCACCTCTAATGAATCAGTGAGAGGTAACCTACAATTCCAAGTCACAACGATTCTACAACCCACAACAAACCTCACCATTTAATCCAACACTATCAAACAATTCCACATACCCAAATTGGCCTCATTTTTAAAAAGCCATTTTGCATTCCTATCCACATCAAAATTCGACTCATTTTTTAGGAGTTTGAAGAAGGGAAGGGACTTCTCTGCCCACCTCGGTAAGAATCTTTTTAGGGCGGCAAGGTATACTGTCAGCTGTTGAATTTCTCTCTTATTTTGGGGCTCCTTCATTTCTAAAACAGCTCTACACTTGTCGGGGTTAACCTCAATCCCCCTATTCGTAAGCATGAACCCCAAAAACTTTTCTACTGGCACTCCAAATGTGCACTTGGCCGGATTCAGCGTTATACTCTAAGATCTCAGCTGTTCAAAAGTCTCCCTTAGGTCAGCCACATGGTCCTCAGGCTGCATCGACTTCACTATCATGTCATCAATGTACACTTCAATTCCTTCCAATTTGTTTTTCAAATACCTGATTCATCATTCTCTGGTATGCTGCCCCGGCATTCTTAAGGCCGAAAGGCATCACATTGTAACTGAAGTTCCCATTCTCAGAAATAAAGGTGGTCTTTTCATGGTCAGAGGGGTGTAGCGGGATCTAATTATATCTAGAAAATGCATCCATGAATGAAAGGAGTTGGAACCCTGAGGAGTTGTCCACTATTTGATCTATGTTGGGCATGGGGTAGAAGTCTTTTAAAAAAATCTTGTCCGGGTCAGTGTAGTCAACACAGATTCTTCACTTCCCACTTGGTTTTTTAACCATCATCACATTGGACAACCAAGTTGTGTATTGTATTTCCCTGATGAAACCAACTTCCGATAGCTTGCCCACATTATCATTCAAAGCCTGACATCGGTCTGGTCCTATCTTCCTATTCTTCTTGGCTACCAGCTTAGACCTGGGATACGTTGAAAGCTTATGACAACGCAAAGTGGGATCTATCCCGGGTATTTTCAATGCCTTCCAGGCAAACAAATTATAATTTTCTTTCAAAAATGAGATAAGTCACTCCTTTACTTCGGCTTCCATACTCGCTCTGACCTTTGCATAGTGCTTGCCATCTTCTCCAATGACGACAATTTCTGACTCTCCTTCTAGTTCCGGCCTAAGAGTCTGTAACTCTTCCCTCATGTCGAGCTCGACCATATTGACTTGATTGCCACATGGGTATATAGAATTGGATTTAACGGGGTCTTTTCTCTTTCTCAGATCCTGGGAGGTCATGATGGGTCGTCCTAAGTCAACTTGAGGGTTTCATAATAGCATTCTCTTGCCTCTTTTTGATCTTCTATATTAGTGACAATTTCATTCTTAGATCCCACCATCTTCAAAGCCTGATGTTTGGTGGAGACGAGCATGTCCCACTTGTGTATCATAGGTCGGCCTATTATCATATTGTAGGATGAGATTGCATCCACAACAATAAAACGAACACGGCCATCTCGAAATGACTCTCTTATTCCTAGTATGAGTTTTAGGTCGATATAACCCTTAGGAGGTAACCTCTCTCCATTAAAACCTACTAACTCGGCCACACATAGTTTCAGATCTTGCTCGTCTAAATTCATCTCCACGAAAGCACTCTAGACGAGAATGTCTGCTGAATTACGAACATTCTTTTAACTCGACAATTTACCAAATTCTCGATAATCACGAGTCTGTCGGTATGAGTCGTCACTACCTTCTCCAGGTCCTCTTTGGTGAAAAATAATCTCGAGGGATCCGACTTGTCCCCATTTCTTTGAAAACTGGTCTATTTCTTACTGACATGTCCTCTCTAAGGATTTTCCTCCTTGCACTAGCGCTATCACCACTGCCTCCTAGTGCTCCACTTATCACATTGCAGTGATATTCGGCATCCTGGTATTCATCATCTTTGTCTTCGGCTTCTTTCCTTTGTCGTGATCATCTTTATCCCGGTCTTTCCTATTCTCCCTTTTTGGGCTCGGACTCTTGCTACGGCTTCATTGCCTGCACTTGTCGTTCTTCCTTTCTTGAGTGCGGATGAGGTATTGCTTCAGCTTTCCCTCTCTAATGTGATTTTCAATTACATCTTGGAGGTCCCAGCATTCATCAGTGGTATGCCCATGACCGTCATGGAAAGCACAGAACTTGGAGCAATCTTGTCTGCCCTTGTTCCTGATGGGTTTCAGCTTTTCCAAGTTATGGAGTTAGGTCTGGGCGACTTTTTTCTAGATCCTAGACTTGGAGACATTAAGAGGTGCATAGCTATCGAATTTATCCCTAGTGGAGCGTTCCTCCAACCATCTGGACTTAGAATCGGTCGCCTTCTTGGAACCTTGTCGATCTCTGTTTCTCTTGTTCGGGCTCTGGTTTTGAGGGCTCCCGCCTCCATCATCACCCTTAATGGTGCCGTAGACTAACGCCATCTTTTCCACATCCAAGTATTTGTCTGATCTTCTCCTGAATTCTTCTAAGTCATTGACCGAGTTCTTGAATATTGATTTAACCAATGGAGATCGTCCATCCAAACCTGATATAATCAAATGTAGGTGGACTGCCTTTGCTAAACTATGCACCTTGAGAGAGGCTTGTTTAAAACATTCTGAATACTTTCACAGTGTTTCTCCTTTCTTCTGCCGAATTCGGCCAAATGCGACGCCGGCATTAGGCGAGCCTTACTGTTGGCAAAATTTAGATGAAAAGTGCATGCGAGGTCTTCGAATGAGTCAATTGAATTTTTGGGTAGTCTGGTGATCCATGTCATGGCTTGCCCAGTTAAGATAGTTGCGAAAATCCAGGCCATGATGGGTCTGATTATCCCATTGAACAACATTTCTGTCTTTGAAGGCTTCCATATGAGCCTCTGGATCCTTACTCCTGTCGTAGGGAAGAACATTGCACTTTTTGAACCTCGGCGAAATGGCCATGTTCATAAGTCTGTCAGTAAATAGGCTATCATTTTGTTGATCATCGTCCCCGTTACCTCGACCATTTCCCTGGATTTTGGTATTTTGACGCCCTTCATAGTGGTCATCAAGGTTGTTACTCTAGTTACCACGGTCGTTTTCAGCACCTTGGTCATTGTCAGCCTCATCTCTGTTCTCAAGGTTGTTTCGTTTAAGACTCTCTGCATGGCTGTGTTGATTGTTGACATTCTTGACCGCCAACCTATTCTGCAATGCCTCAAACCTTTGAGCGTGTAACCGCTGCTTAGCCAGGACCCTGTTCTCCATCTCTTGCATCCTTCGCATGATGGCATTGAGGGCGGTTTCGTGGATTTGGTTGTCCATCGTAGGCCTGGTTTCCTGTTGAGGGAGGTTAGGTTGATTCACCGCCTATTTTTTTCTGGTTTCTGGTCGGTGCAGATTCAGATTCAGCGTCGTTCACGTGCACCTCCTCCAATATAGGGTTACTACCGTCCTAAAGCCTTTCAACGGCAGATTGTTGATGCGGCTGCGGTGGTTGGGGTTGTTTGCTCTGCTTCTGGTATGTACCATCACAAAATGGGTATTCAAAATTTACCGATTTCCCACAGATGACGCCAATGTTCGGTCCAAGTAGACCGTGAGTATTTACCGTATAGGTATTCTCTCAGAGATATCTATGAGAGAGATATATCAATTAGCTCAAGGCCAATGTTCCAATCAATGCGCACTGATAATAGGCGTACAACCAAGATGCGAGGGTGTGTGCAAGTGTACTGTTAGTACATAGGTGTCCTAGAGACAATCTGAGAGTCAGATGGACCATAACTTATGTTGGCCGGCGTTGTCTATGTTGTTGATAATAGATTCTGAATGCTGCTGCTCAACAATTAAATTTTTGATATTGAAAATCTAGTTGTGGCATCAATATCTATGGCTTCTACTACACTAAGAGTTGGTAAGGTTAGATGAATTTGACTAGTAAAGTATTACATATATAAAATAATATTTTCTTAACCGCAAGTCTAATGAGGGAATTTCAGAGACATAGCGATCATATCTTGTCCTTGAGTAATAAGTTAAAGGCCTTACGAATCGACAATATCTTAGGCTTTGGCAACAACGTATGCTACCAGAAAGAACAACCATATCTGCTCCATGAACTCGTTGTTAGCAATGCATAGGAGATTTTTATTTTTTAGTGGAGTGGGAGCTATATCATCAAGTTTCAAGCAATGGAACCCTGGTTGGAGTTTTGTGACTGCCCCCAACAAGTTTCGTCCTTTTCCTTAGGGGCTGTTTGGTAGAAGTACATTTTTTAGAATGTCAGGAAAGTGATAGTGAGATTTGTATTTACCCATGTTTGGTAGGAGTTTTTGTAAAATTTTCCCAGATATCTAATTTGCCCAGGATTTGCATTTATGTGTAAATTGTGTTAAAATTTTCGTTTTCAAAATACCACCAAAGGGGTGGTATTTTTGGAATACCGGATGATAGAATTTTGACATTAAATGACAAAACTACCCTTCCTCCCTCTTCCTTTTCAGATTCGGATTCATCAACATCGGTCCACTTGAGAACTCGAAGCGTTTGTTGATTTGTTGGGTGGGGAGAGTGAAGGGTCTTCGTTGATCTTGAGGCGGAGGATGTCTTCTTGGTAGACAGAGAGGATGACGATCAAGGGTTTTGTTTCAATTTGGGGTTGATCTTTGGAGATGAGCTTGGCAGTGAGGTCGTCGTCGGTGATGGAGATGTCGGTGGTGACGAGGGAGGAGGATAAAGTTGTTGGCGCTATCTGAAGTTGTTGTCCATCTCTCTCTATTGGAAGTCACTTTCTCCAGTTTAGCAATAGAATCTGTGACAAACGCAAATTCAGATACCATTCCTTTGCTTATGATTTCATCACCAGTCCCATCTTCAAAATCATTTGAGTTTCTTCCATGAGAGGACATGGAAATAGAGAAGGAGGAGAAGGATATGTCTGATTCATCATCTTGACGATAAGAAAGATAAAGCGACGGGGTTATTTTACATATTCCCACTAATATTTCACAATCAACCGAACAAAGACTCAATAAACTTAACCGAAAATTCCAGTAATATTTTTTCCTACCAAACAACTTTTTTATAACATTCCTGGATAATTCACTTTCCTACAATATTCCTGGTAATCATGATTCCCAGACACCAAAAAATTTCTCCTATACCAAATACCCCGACAATGTGAAACATTTAGGGCGGTATTTAGGAACCCCTGTTTAAGGGAGTAGGTTAGAAGAAATAATGAAGCCAAAAACTACGTGGGCCAACTTCTATTAGTTAGGCCTATTTAGTTCCTACACAAGGGGTTAGCAAGGGTAGTAAGGAAAATCCCAATATAATGAGTTAGTTAGGTCATTGGGATAACAAATAGGCTTGACGAAATTCATGGATGTTGTTAGTCAATTACTAAGAAGACATGTAAGGTTAGAGACTCCGATTTCTCTGAAGGTAGTGTGAATTATGATAGAGATTTTTTTTTTATTTTTTTTGTAATTTCCTACCTCATTTATTAGCGAAGGTGGAGTCAGGAAATTGTTTGAGTAGGGGCAAAAGCAAGAAAATTTCACACAAAGTATTTAACATGACAATGGGTCAGTAGTAATCATATTTGAAGAAATCCCTAAATTTTCTTCGCACATAAGAATGAGAGTTGGAAGGTTGCGCTTGAGGGGGTCAATTTATGCTACACTACTTTTCTTTCAAGTCTAAACCAGAAGGGGCGCACGCCCACCCTAACCCCCTCCTTGGCTTCTCCACCAATGCTTATAAGAAAATTCATCTATTCTCGAAGTGGAGGAATTTATCAATAAAGATTCAATCAACATTCAACATATACTATGTTAATCCAATTCCCAAATCTTGACTCACGTTTTGTCAATAAAGATCCAAACTCAATTCTTCAGCCATTTTCTATCTGAGCTGTAGGTAGTTCCTAAGACAGAAATTAGAATAAGAACCAAAACAATGAAGGTACCTGTGAGACAGATTGAAGTTTCCCATCTTGTATGGGGTAAGAAGAGGAATGATAGTACCTTCTTCAGCCATTTTTCTGCAATTTTTTTATTTTCTCCTTTCTCCTTTCTTTTTTATATAAAATTTCTCCTTGCCCTGTCTTTTTCTCTTTTTGATTTTATGAAAATGATCCAGATTCATTTGAGTATTTATTAATTAAAGGCATTTGGAACTAGAATGTTATATGTTTGTTGAGAACTTTAATTTTTTGTGTTAGAACTTTAATTTTATTTTGCAACCAATATATTAATGTTTTTTTACATAAAAATATATCAATGTTTTAATTTTGAAATAATTGAAGGACTAATTTTTGTCATAAATTCTTTGGATAACTAATGTGGTGATAAAGTAATATTTGAAAGACTAATTTCATGATAAAAATATTTTAAGCAGTAGTGTGGCGATGCCCTAATATTTTGCGAATCACGTAGAGGGTTTACACGTTTTCAAAATAACAAAATGAAGTTTTGAATATATTAAATTTTTTTAAAGTAATAAATACCATCTTTATAGAATAACTCCAAAGATTGTTAATAATATTTATTAGAAAAATATAAAAGCAAATTATTCATTTAATAATTTATATTAATATTTGAATTAATTACGAAAATACTTGATGAATTTAAGAGATACATCTATGATTTTTTAACCGCTAGGATGTCATTGAATCTTTACAGGGATAAACTTTCACATTCTTTAATGGCACATATTATTTCGACGGAATTTATCTGTGGGTGAACATAGTTTTTCTAGCAATTTTTGTATTTATGATATCACATAAGTGCATGTTTTTATAATTGAAATTAGTACAGTATATACAGGATGACTAAAAATTTATCATTCCTAAAATAATATAGAATTCCGAAAATATATATAGACCAGTATTTAATGACACAAAAACAATATTAAATACTTTGTACAAAAGAATATATTAAATACTCAATAACCGTCATTTGTAGAGGGTCTTTTAGCAAGGTCCTAATCAATGAATCTTCGAAATAATTCTCATAATTATTCAAAGAAAGAAAGTATTTAATGGTTTTTAATTTCTCAATGAATTAGCACTACAAAAAAATAGGTGATTAGTGGAGGTTACTTAGTGTAGGTCAAAAAACCTCCACTAAATAATGTAATTTTTGGCAGATTTTAGACCTCCACAATTTATTATTATGTTTTTGTATTTTATATTGCTTTATATATATATAATCTCTTTTTAATTTCTATTTACTTTCTGCATATTATTAATCTCTAGAAATTTTTTTTTAAAGTTTTTCCAAAAAAAAATATTTGCATTTTTAAAATATTGTTGTGAACTATACGACTTGTTGAAATGTCTTTCACTGTTGTGAAGTCTAGTTTGCTCTTCACTCTTTTGTCGAGACCCTAACACTCGTTCTCCTTTCAGCCAGTCGCTACAACATCTCACTCTTCTTCAAAACCCAAAATCATTGGATTAAGGTAACTCACTTAACTTCAATTTCTCATCGTGTTCATTACTTGTTTATTGACTTTAACATTTCTTCTATTTAATATTCAAGATTTTTCAGTTCGAGATTGCTCCAACCTGGTTCTTACTCTTCTCACCATCACTGATTCGAATTCTTAATTTGTGTGAGTTCTCCGTTAACTGATTTAGCTTCTTCTTTTTTCATTCATACAACGCTTATTGCCTTCACGCAGCTACGAATGGAAACACCGGCGGCGGCGACGGTGACGGCAACTGTCTTCCCATCATCGGCTGATCCATTTAAGCCGTCGATTTTCCTCGGAAGGTCCATCGAATTGGCATTCCGTTCCAATTTTCAGATCTCCAGTAAGGTATCAAATCGCCAGTTCATTTTTTTTTAATTTTTATTATGATTTCTGCTTGATATTGTTGGTGAGAATAACGAGTTTGATGAACTCTTGTTGAAATCATTTCTTTCTGGTATGGTTGTCTTTGTCGATGCTTGTTCGGTGGCTTTGCTTTTACTAAATGGTGTATTAGATTAGAATGAGCTTTAATACGATGTGTTTAGGTTGCAAGTTGCTAGTGATAGCTGCATTTTGCCAATTTCCTTGTTCCACTCAGAATGGTATACGAGATATTACCTTTTCTTATGAGTATGTTATCTAATGATTTGTTGTTTTGGTTTTCTTATGAGAATATATATTGTTTCCTTGTTAGTTTTTGTGGTCGTCGTTTAGACATTCAGAGTGGAATAAATAACATGAGGATTTTTAGTTAGTAAAGGTCATGGTTTATGCTACATGCTTAGTTTCCTTTTGTTGATTGTGAAAATTATGTAAGAATTGAATTGAATTACAATAATCCCTCTGACTTTCAAATGGCAATAGAGGAGGCATTTTTGGCAGATCGGGGCTTTACAGAGAAATTATAAGGAGCAGTAACTCAAACCAACTAGTTTTAAATGATTCTATTGCGAGTCCATCATGTTTTTATTTTTAACCTTGCTTGTCATTTGATTATTTGTCTTCAGTAATATAAGGAGGAGTAACTCTCATGCCTTGTATGATGTACATGGGTCCTAGTTGCAGAGTGAGATGTGTTTATGGGAATACTTTTGGGTTTGTAATGGGTGAGAAAGATTTTGGATGTCTCTTGTTTTATATTTTAAAGTTCTTGAGCCCACCGAGTCAGAGGTTGTCCATTGGAATGCCACCTACTTTTTTGAATAGCAAGTTGTCTCTTGTTCTATGCTGAAGAGATTTTGAGGGAAATAAAGTCCCTTTTTTTTAAGTTCAAATAACATGTTATGTTGTCGACAATTAAGTTATCCTGCAACTAGTGCAGAAACTCTTGGGGGCCAATTCTTGTGCAAAATATGTGTCACGGTTTGTATATCTTGCATTTTTCTTATATTAAGTCTACAATGAAAAATTATAGTTAGTTCTGTATTTGTCTTGAAGATTGCATATTTTTTGTAGTCTTTGAAGTCATTTTTTACTGATTGATATTATTCTGTTTTTTGAAGAATCATGAATGCACTGATTATTACTGCCCTACTTGCAAAGCAAAGTTTGATTTTGAGTTATCTGATTCAGAAAAATCACAGCCGAAAGTCAAGTAAGTCATTTTTGAGTTATTAATGCCATACTTGCAAAGCAAAGTTTGATTTTGAGTTATTTGAAGTCATTTTTTATTGATTGATATATTCTATTATTTTTATTTTTTTATTTCTTACCTTTTATTCTCTTCTGTCCTCCTATATATTCTTATTTGTATTTTATTTTAATGTATTATTTCTTGTAATTGTGTAATGCTTTTTCTATGGATAATATATATATATATATATATATATATATATATATATATATATATATATAAGTGTGTGTGTACTTAAATTTTTTTTTCTTCACAATATTTTCGTCTTTGAAGGTTGACTTGTCTGGAAGGAGAGAGTCCCCCGAGGAATTCACTTACAGAGATGTTGATTTTCCAAAGTCAGTGGATTGGAGAAAGAAACTGTTGCAGCTGTTGAGGGAATAAATGGTGGAATATATATTAACTGTGACAGAACATACAACAATGGTTGCAATGGGGGTCTCATGGACTATGTAACACAGATATCCATTTCTAATCATGCCACGTCAGCTACATCAGATCACAACTTGCTTCCAACTAATCATGACAGATCAGCATAGCAGTTGAATCTGTTAGGATATAGATTTCAGTTATTTTCTGTTAACTGTTATTTTAGCTTTTCCCTCCTTATTCTTTATTCCAATTGTACATGGTATATATGTAAATGATCAATCATATAAGCTAAGCAATTCACTTTTTCTAGCCTAAAGGGCTCTTGCGTGAGGGAGCGTGTTGAGATATATAGTCCCACATTGATTGGATGAGCAACTAATATGGCCTTTATAAGGCCTTGGGCACTTCCACCCCTTGAGCTAGCTTTTGGGGTGGTGTATCCCAAGGTTCTTTACATGGTATCAGAGCTTGCCAAGAAGATGGTATCAGAGCTTGCCAAGAAGATGGTATCAGAGCTTGCCAAGGTTCTTTACAAAGAAGATGGTATCAGAGCTTGCCAAGCTCTGATATCTGCTGCTTGATAACTCTTCACCACTTCTCTTCCAAGATTTCATTTTTTTTTCTCTCTGAAATTCCTCCATGGCTAACTTGCCAGAATTCCTAACAAATTCTTCACATCCTCTGTTTCTGCATTCTAATGAGAATCCTTCTCAAGTTTTAGTCACACCGCTCTTGAATGGACGAAACTATCATTCTTGGGCGCGTTCCATGTCAATGGCCTTGCGTTCCAAGAACAAGCTTGGATTCGTCAATGGCGTGGTGGAAGTACCAGATCCTGATAGTGCAGAGTATGAAACATGGGAACGATGCAACACAACTGTATTAGGATGGATTCACAGATCCATTTCGCAGACGATAGCTCAATCCATAAATGATGCTTGGAACGATCTTCGTAATCGTTTTTCTCAATCTGATATTTTCAGAATCTCGGATTTGCAAGAAGAGATACAGAAACTGCATCAAGGTGACAAGACTATGACTGAGTTCTTCACTCAGCTCAAGATCCTATGGGATGAGTTAGAAAACCTGAAGCCAATTCCCACACCTTTGGTTGCTTGTGTTTGTGGCACTGCTGATGTAATGCGAACTTATCGAGATCAGGATCATACTATCCGATTTCTTAAAGTTTTGAATGATACATACTCTCAGGTTCGTTCTCAAGTAATATTGATTGAACCATTGCCTAATGTCATTAAGGCTTTTTCGCTGATAACTCAACAAGAACGCCAATTTTATTCTGAAGATCAACTCAATGCAAGAACAACTGCACAAACTTTTGCTGCTGTGACAGATCACTCCAATAACCGGAGAGGTGCTTATAATGGAGGTGGTTACAATAGAGCTCCTTCTGGCAACTATGGAGGAAGCTCTGGAAATTATGGAGGAAGGAGTATAAGAGGAAGAGGACGTGGCTTTGGAGGCAGAAACACTCCAGGCAGATTGTGCACTCATTGCAATCGAAGCAATCATACCATAGAAACCTGTTATCTGTTGCATGGGTTTCCACCAGGATACAAAACCTATAATTCACATATGGCCAACAACATTTCTACTTCTGATCTTGAGAACAATGCTGCCTTCCAAGATCCAGACAATCGAGTGAGTTCCATTGATATGATTCAAGGTCAATATGAGAAGATTCTGAACCTATAACAGAAGAACACCATTGCTGAAGTTCCTCAAGTTCATCATACCACAAATTCCATCCAAACCTGTAACATGAACACTCACTCATCTCCCAAAGGTAAAAGTATTACTGAGTGGATAATGGATACTGGTGCCACTGACCATGTCACATTCATCCAATCTCATTTTTCCTATTCTCGTGAAATTGATCCCATTTCTATAAGTCTACCTGATGGATCAATTGTTATAGCCACTGTTTCTGGTAGTGTACCTATTTCCTCCACTCTCATATTAACAGATGTCCTATTCGTTCCTGATTTCCATGTCAATTTGCTTTCTGTTAGCAAATTAGTTAATTCAATTGCATGTTCTTTAACCTTTACTAACAACTTGTGTCTTATTCAACAGAAAAGCCTGAGTTGCTGGAAAACGATTGGTTCAGCTGAACAGAAAGGAGGACTATATGTGATATACAACACCACTCCTCATTCCAATTCCCAAGTTTATCAAATAGGACCCGAAACTGCTTCTGTTTCTGTTAAATCTGTTTCTGTTTCTGCTTGTAATAAGTCTTCCAATAATGAATTTTTTTGGCATCGTAGACTTGGTCATATACCAAAGCCAATTCTGTATGAAATGTCTTTACAATTTCCATGTATTTCATTTCAACATGAAGATCCCTGTGATGTATGCCATATGGCAAAACATCATAGACTTCCTTTTCCCATGAGCAATACTAAATCAAATTCAGCATTTGAATTACTTCATGCAGATATTTGGGGCCCTTTTTCAATAACTTATATAAATGGTCATAGGTACTTTCTTACTTTAGTGGATGATTATTCAAGGTACACTTGGGTAGTTTTGATGAATAACAAAGCTGAAACCCGAAACCATCTCACTAACTTCATTGCCTACATTAAAAACCATTTTAACACTACTCTTAAGACCATACGCACTGATAATGGTCCAGAATTTTTCATGAGAGACCTTTTTGCTAAAGAAGGGATATCTCATCAAAGAAGTTGTGTGGAAACTCCACAACATAATGGCCTTGTTGAGAGAAAGCACCAGCATATATTAAATGTTGCTAGAGCTTTATTTTTCCAAGCACAAATCCCTTCCAATATGTGGTGTTTTGCTGTTATTCAAGCCATCCACATCATAAACAGAACCTGCACTATTGTTCACAACAACAAGTCACCTTATGAACTTCTATACATCAAACCACCAACTTTCCTACACCTTCGAGTCTTTGGATGTTTGGCCTGTGCTTGCACACTCTTTTCTCAAAGGACCAAGTTTTCTTCAAGAACCCGTAAATTCATTTTCTTAGGATATCAAGAGGGTGTCAAAGGTTATTTACTTTATGATTTAAATTCCAGACAAATATTTGTTTCACGAAATGTAACTTTTCATGAAAATCACTTCCCTTTCAAAACCATGACAGTTTCTGATCATGTTAATCATCCAGATCACAACTTTTTGGACAATCCTTCTCCTTTATTTGATTCTGATTCTGATATCTTAGCTACTGCTGGTCCATCTTTACCTATTCTTGATGTCCCATATACAGTTGTTAAATCCTTGAACCCTGCTTCTCCTATACCATTAAGAAGATCCTCACGAGTTCGTGCCCCTCCCCAATATCTACAAGAGTATCACTATAATCTCTCCACTGCTCAAGGAACTACATCGTTATCAGGTAACTCCTCTTCTGTTAACCATTCCCTTTCAAATGTTCTTGATTACAGTAAATGCAATACTTCATATAGACATTTTTGTTTCAACACTATGATTCTTTCTGAACCTGATATGATCCCCAATAGGAATGGAGGAATGGATCTACTAGGAATGGAAATTCTAACCCCAAATTCATCCACCAACACGACCTGTTAAGAACAGAGCGTATCTTACGCTACAGACCTCGGATTTGGGTGATTGCAAAACGAGGTGAAAGATGGCTTCCTGAATCACGATTTTGGCACAAGAATCACCGGAAAAGGATAAGGAATTCGAGAGATATGAATCCAAGATAATATAGAACGAAATTGGAGTTTAAGGATTATAGGTAGGCGCCACAATTCCAAAGAATTGATAAGCCCAAGAACGCCACAAGGATTGATGCCCTTGATAAGTTCAGAGATTCTCAAAAGAACCCAAGAGAACTAGTCTCACCAAAATAGGTTAACTTGATATTCCAAATCTGTCTTCAAAAGCCATGGTGTTCCCTTATATAGTGGGCAACAACCATATTGAGTTTAACCTAAAAGTGCTTACACATAAAAGAAAATAGACAGCCCAATAATCCAGCCCAATAAGCCTTATTACAAAAAGTTTAACTAAATATAAGAAAATAAAAATTAAGTGCAGAATTAGGGCCAAGTAAAATAAAGCCTTCATGCATATCCATTGAGGCTTATTCTTCAAGGTCTTCAATTTGAATTAAGTGTATCATTTTGGGCTCTTCTTCCTTTAGACTTGGGCTTGCCTCAAGTAAAGTGGTCACCAAAAGATTTAGAGCCTCTTTAGCCTTTTTAGCTTTTGCTCTTGTCATTGGGCCTCTAAGACCTTGTATGTCCTCCAAGTTTGTTGTCTTGGTCATGCCACCTCCTATGTCCTCATCATTCCCTCCTTCTTTAGAAGAATTTGTCCTCAAATTGTAATCCTCGTCTCCTGCATCAAAAAGGGACAAATCAGCCACATTAAAAGTAGCACTTACACCATACTTTATAGATTTGTGCAAAGTCTGGATCATGCTCATACAATGCCTTAATATGATCAAAACCAATGAACTTAGTTTCAAGAGTAGAGAACAAGGCATACCTTCTTGAAAGTGCATCTGCAACTATATTAGACTTACCTTTCTTGTGCTTGATCACATAGGGAAACTGCTCCAAGAACTCTACCCATTTGGCATGCCTTTTGTTAAGCTTGCCTTGTCCTTTTAAGTACTTTAAGGACTCATGGTCACTGTTGATGACAAACTCTTTGGGCAAGAGATAGTGTTGCCATGTTTGCAATGCCCTTACCAATGCATACAATTCCTTATCATATGTGGAATAATTAAGAGCAGCCCCATTCAGTTTTTCACTAAAATAGGCAATGGGATGCCCCTCTTGAATCAAAACAGCCCTTATCCCCACATTAGATGCATCACATTCAATCTCAAAAGATTTAGAAAAATTAGGCAATACAAGAATAGGTGCATGTGTCAATTTTTCCTTGAGAGCAGCAAAGGCTTGCTCTTGTTTTTCACCCCATTTGAAACCAACATGCCTTTTAATCACTTCATTCAAGGGTGCAGCTATGGTACTGAAATCTTTAACAAATCTCCTATAGAAACTAGCTAAGCCATGAAATCTTCTCACCTCACTTACATTCTTAGGAGTTGGCCACTCTTGAATAGATTTCACCTTCTCTTGATCAACTTGCACTCCTTGTGAGCTAACAACAAAACCAAGAAAAACAACATGGTCTATACAAAACACACATTTTTCCATGTTAGCATACAATTTCTCATGCCTTAGTGCTTCCACAACATACCTCAAGTGCACAAGATGATCATCATAGGATTTGCTATAAATCAGAATATCATCAAAATAAACCACAACAAACTTTCCTAGAAACTCCCTTAACACATGATTCATTAGTCTCATGAAGGTACTAGGATCATTGGTTAAACCAAAGGGCATAACCAACCATTCATACAGCCCATATTTAGTTTTAAAAGCTGTTTTCCATTCATCCCCTTCTCTAATCCTAATTTGATGGTATCCACATTTTAAATCAATTTTAGAGAAGAAACAAGCACCATGCAATTCATCCAATAAATCATCCAATCTAGGAATAGGATGTCTATACTTTACCGTGATGTTATTGATGGCTCTACAGTCAGTGCACATTCTCCAGGTTCCATCTTTCTTAGGCACTAAAAGGACTGGGACTGCACATGGACTTAAGCTTTCTTGCACCCATCCTCTTTTCATTAAGTCTTCAACTTGTCTCTGAATCTCCTTGGTCTCTTGGGGGTTACTCCTATAGGCTGGCCTATTAGGCAATGCAGCTCCCGGCACGAGATCAATTTGATGTTCAATGCCTCTTAGAGGAGGCAGTCCATGAGGCACCTCTTTGGGAAAGACATCTTCAAATTCCTGCAACAAAGAAGAAACCTCATTTGGAAGAGAGTTAGTAGGACTTGCATCTTTGATATTATTACACTCTTTACTCAAAAGTAAGAGCATTGGCTTTTTCAATTGTATAGCCTTTTTCACCTCTTTTTCTTTTATAAACAAATTTTGTGTTTTTCTCTCTTTTTTTCTCTCTTTTTCTTGCTCTCTTCCACTCTCTTTCCCCTTTTTCTCTCAACTTTCTTTTCTCTCTTGCTTTCTTTTATCTCTCATTTTCAAATGATCCTCACTAACTTCTCTTGGAGTCAAAGGTGCAAGAATAGTCTTGCGTTCTTCATGCACAAAAGAGAATTTGTTGGTGTAACCATCATGCATAACTTTCTTATCATATTGCCAAGGTCTCCCAAGAAGCAAATGACAAGCCTCCATTGGTACCACATCACATAAAACTGTATCATCATACTTTCCTATGGAGAAGTTCACCTCCACTTGTTTGCTTACGGTCACTTCACCATCCTCACTAAGCCATTGAAGCTTATATGGCAGCGGGTGATGTTTGGTATCCATGCCCAATTTAGACACCATTCTAGCACTTGCAACATTGGTACAACTCCCTCCATCAATAATTAAAGAACATACCTTTCCTTGGATAAGGCATCTAGTATGAAAAATGTTCTCTCTTTGACTATCATCCATGTCTTTTACTTGGCTACCCAACATCCTTCTTACCATAAACAAATCTCCTTCCGGTATAATTTCCTCGTCATACTCATCTTCATCATCATATGAGGCAGAATCTGAAGAAGACTCACTAGTAATCTCTCCATCCTCTTTAAGTAACATAGTCTTCTTAGTTGGACATTCTGAAGCTATGTGACCTCTTCCCAAACACTTGAA